CCAGTCAGGACGGGCGGTCTTAGGCTATCAACTCCCACAGAGCCAGAGCCTGTATTTAACTTACGACACATCTTAAGATGAGGAAGGGATGGGGAACGCGTGACTCTCTTGCTGCCCACCAACACCAGGCTCTTCATGCAGAGTCCTTTATGTAGACTCTCTCTTAAGGTCTCCGTGGCAGAACATCCTTCAGACTTCCCCAGCATGCCCCGCTTGAGAACCGGAGATTCTAAGGACACCTCAGTCTCTGCAGAGTTTTTCCCAAGAGGTCTTTTGAGGGTGGAGCTGATGACATGGGACCCTGAATTGACTCCAGACAAGGACCTGGAGATATGTGGCCTGCCAGCCACCCCAGGGCAAGCAGGGGGTGTAACCTGGTGCCGTGGGGAAGGCATCTGCCTGTAGATCTTTCTCCACCTTGATGATGAGCTGGAAAAGGCACAATTAGTGCTTCTTACCTGAACCCCCACAAGGCTTCTCTATTTACAAAAAAAAAAAGTTCTTGGAAATTTTGTTTTAGTCCATCTCTACTGAGTGGCCCTTTTCTGTTCCTTGCACTCCTTCCCTGTGTGAGGGCGAGGCCAACATAGCCTTGGACAAGCAGTACAGATGCACTTCAGGGCCGGACTCTGCTGCATCGAGACCTCAGCAAAATAGGTTTGGCTGTGATCAGAAAGGAGTTGATTCGAGATTTAACGGAGATGACAGGTACAAAATGCTTAGCAGAGTGTCTGCCAGAAAATAAATGGTCTTTGTTGCTTAGTAATGGTAGTTATTGTTATGATGTTGGTACTGATACTGATCAAAGATCCAGGATAAGATTTAACGCTGTGGGCCTCGGCCACTGGGAGGACCAAGAAAGGGGAGAGGAGAGAGCAGAAGGGAAGTCGAAGTACCAACTTTGACCAGGTGTCAGGTGTGCCTGGGGGCAGACCGTTCTCCATCCTGCTATCTGAATCCCTTTTGCCCCTTTTAGGGCCTGATCTCTGTCCCCTCATCCCATCTCGGGTGGCCATGGCCTCGCACTGCACTGTTCCTTGGTGACATTCACACTCTTGGTCTATCCCTCCACCCACAACACAACTTGCCCGCCAGGCTCTCATTCCCTCATTACGCAGCTCTCTGCTAGGAATCAGATAACTAATGAAAAGATGCTATTAATGCTTAATGGAGGCTTATGGTTGTTTCCCAAAAATATCACATTTGTAGTTAATATTCCAAAGGTTCCTGGTAGGGATTTCTCAATCTAATACAGGTCTGAATAGGAGATGGTTTTAATCAGAGCTATTCTGAGGACTCTTTTAATAAAATCAGGCCCTCGAGTACTTTTACCTTCTTTGCCTATGTGTAGAGTCAACCCTTAAAGCAAGTAAAGAGTATTCCCAAATATTAAGGAAGTCTCAAAATCCCTGGATTTGTTCATGACTAAGCTACAGTTATACTGAGAATTTTTGGAACATCTTTGGGCTTACTTTTCTCCATCTGTGAAATGGGTATATAACGTAAATTCATTCACTATCTGTTAAGCATGCCTTGTCCTAAATGAAACAACACATGATAAACCAGCATGTGCAAAGGGCCAGAGAATGTAGCTGTGTTGACTGGAGACAGGAAATGGAAGCAGGTAGAATTAATATTATCCTTAGTCATTACTGAAGCCAAACTTAGCAGTTCTGGAATTGTTTAACGAGCCCAGTGGCATATTAGAATCAGCTGGGAATTTTTCTTTTATATACTGATTCTTAGGCCTTAACCCCAAATATTCTGATTCAGTTGACATGGAGTAAGATCTGAGCATCATAATTTTCTTAACAGCTCCTAAGGTAATTCCTTTGTGCTGCCAAGACTTAGAGCCACTGTCTTAGAAAAGCATCAGCAATATAAGGCAGGTGAAAATGGCATCATATTAGGTAGGTCTTGAGCTCTGTATTCCGGAAGCACTCGGCAACTGACATTCAATGGGTTTCATACCATGGTTACAGCTTTGGGGAAAGAATCCTTGAAAAGAAGCCAAGAATCATAAGAATCATGGAATGGTAGGTTAAAGGAGCCCTCAAAAGCCACTCCTTTAAACCTCTTCCTCATTGCTGTATGAGCACTGGCCATTGAGTATATGTGTCTGGGCCTCAGTTTCCCTGTCCATTAAACGAACTATTTGGATTAGATATATTCAAGAGTGGCTTCCAGTTCTGTTATTCTATGAGACTAAGAGAATTGTCCAGTATCAGAAGAAATAGAAGTTACAGTTACACATGTATGTTGAGATTCTCCGTTCATTCATTCCTGTCTGAAGTTGTCCTGGGAAGTCTTCTGAGCCACAGGTCCTTGGGCTCCAGCCTCTGCACTGCTGTCCAAACGCCAGCCTGGGTTCTCGAGTGGCAGCTGGAGCTCCATTCTTGTGGCCTCCCTCCTCCCAGCTTTCTCCAGCAGGGTAAAGGCCTTCAGGTGATTCTTGTAAATGCAGCCCATTTTAATTGCAGGAGCAGCCTCCAAGTTCTCTCAGCTCCCTGGCAAGCACGTGGCCTAACCACTGCTGGTATCTGCAAAGGAAGTGGTGGAATGTGGAAGTTTACAGGACGTTAGCGTACACTCATCTTCCGGCCCCAAGCCCGTGGAGCTCAGCCAGCGGTCGCTATGCCAGTGTGCTCCTTTTCCTCCCCTTCTCAGCAGACTTGGGCAGCCTCTGAACTCTACTTCATGCTTTTCTGAGGGGATGGGCCTCTGAGCAGAGCTTAAGGAAGTTGGATAGAACAACAATAAATATTTATTGCTTACATCCTATGTGGTAGTCCCTGTCCTAGGAATGCCACACTTGGTCTCTCCAGGCCACAGACTTTGACCAAAATCCACTAGAAGGGATCATCCCAGCCAGGCCCCTAGTACAAATTGTCCTATCTGGTGCACAAACTTATCGGAAAACCATCCATCTGCCTCAAACTTAAGAGCGCGCTGATACATGCTAGGCTTGAGGCTGTGAGGGCAAAGGAGCTTGGTAGGGAAGAGGGCAAAGGGTTTTGAAGTGCACACGGCAGACCTTTTTGGGTTCTCAGCCTGTGAGGGATAGAAGAGGGAGTGAGGGAGAGGTGGGGGTGGGGGTGTGGCAGGGAAAGGGCAGATTTAGTAGAGTCCTGTCCATGGATGGGAGCTCCAGGGTCCAACAGCACACCTGACAGGTCAGTCTCCAGGTACTGCCTTCCAGAAACTGGCCCCTTGGTCCAGGTGAAGCCTGGAGCTACCCTGCCATGCATTTCATGCATGCCCCTTGGGGGCATTGAGGATAGTAGCATCAGACCCCAGATCCTCTTCCCTAGCCTTCCGTTGGACTCATGAGGATGGAGGGTCCTAGAACAACTCTGTTTCTTGTGTTCTTCTTGTATACAGGGTGGCACCAGGACTAAGCAGTAGCAGTTTAAGCAAGCCAGACCCTTCTCTTGATTGTGAAGAGGAACAGACACTCCCAGGCTGCCGAGTGCTTCTGAAGCTGGAACAGCTGCTCTGCTGCCTCGTAATCCTGGTGTCAGGGACAGAACGAGAGGCATGGCCAGATCAGGAGGAGGTGGGGATCCAATCGTGGCACGTCGACTCAGCCTGAGCTCTGGCTCCCAGACCCAGCAAAGTCCAATAACGTGGGCTTCACAGCAAACAGACTTCAAGGCCTCCTCTTTGTACCTTCTGACGCATGTTCCCTTTGGAATCATGATGGCAGCCGCTTCCATTCTCAACTTTGTTTTAGCACCCAAAGAGTCAGTGTGAGGAATCTGTGGGAGAACATGGGGATCTACGCCTGGCAGAACTGTAGGCGTGAATCAGGTGGCCAATAAGTGCTTCCATGTTTGCTACTCTGTAATTAAAAAACAAGTAACTCCAGGAAATCAGATATTTTATTGCTTTTCTTAATAGTATTCCAGATCAATTTTCCCCTCATTTCTCTGCAAACAGGCCTGGGACAGGACCCATCGATCTGGTCCTCCCAGGGCTGGGGTTGATAGGGCAAGGCCTGAGTAGCAGGATCAAGAACCACTGACCCTCCTGTCTGTCCCTGTCACAATGTGGGTAATAAGTCATGGCCACAGGCAACGGGACTAACCAGAGTGAAGAAGACAAAGAGAGAAAAAGGAAGAACAGAGAGGTTCACGTGCTGGGGAAGGTTAAACTCTCACTGTGGCAACCACAGATTTCAAACCACTAACTAAGCCACGGGCTTCAAGTAAATGTGTTGAGAAATGGGATGGAAGATACAAACTCAGTTCAGGCAATACCTGCTGGGAAACTGGGCCAGGGGTCTCCAGAGCTGAGAGCATATTTGGGAACACCTACTGATCTTTATTTTTGACTTATCATTATTCTATTTCTATATTGTGTATGTTTTACAATATATACAGTGTAGTAATATAGTAGTACCTGTATATAATTTATAAATAAATAAATACTTATATTGGGGGGTATATGCACAAAAGTTTCCTACTGATGGGGTACACAGTCAAGAGAGCTTAGAGACCAGCTAATTAGAATAGTAAAAAAAAACACAAAAAACATAAACAAGTCAACCAACCTACCTAGGGCCTTGGGACCTGACCAGGGGCCTCTGCCAGTTGACGTAGAGGAGGAATAGTCAGCTATCCTCTAGGAAGGCCCCTCTCCCAGCTGTTGCATAGTGCCTGATGTCCCTTTAAAGGGTGAAATCACTTACATTATGGTGAAACAGAAAAACAAATATTATTATCATGACTACTACTATCTACACCACGACTAGTCTCTGAGGAGGTCACAGCATAGCAGGAAGCCTTTGTTCCCAGGCCGTCCATACACAATTGTGGCCACTGAAAGGCAAGTCGGGGACTGGAATCCAGCCTGTATCCTGCTCACTAAGCCACGTGCCCCAGAGATGGATGCATCTGCCCCAGGAAGGGGTGTCTTTTAGTAATTCTCACAAAGGTGCTATATGGATTAGCAATAGCCTCGCTTTTTTTTTTTTTTTGCTTTATTTGAATATAATTTTATATCCATTTTCTTTTTATAAATACAGTTTATTGCTTGTTGTGTCTTAGTCTAAAAATGTTTGAGAACCCCTGGAGAATGTGCATTGTGGTGGGGGTGGCAGAATGGGGTTCTGGCTTCAGCAGGTGCAGCCTCTCAAAACAGAGCACTCCATGGTTGAGCACTCGTAAGTTGAATATCCTTTTCTGTCCTGTGTCTCAGAGATGCCCCAAGGCTATCTGACAAGGTGAGTTATTCCACACAGAAAACAAAGAACTAACACCTCAGCCCAGCCTCTATTGAGGCCAGCCTTTTGCCTGGGTCCTGAGATGTGGCCTGCTTCAATGTCTCTATTGGACATAGCCATCTAGCCATGGAAGGTTCCATCTCATCCTGCCTGAGACCACGGTGCAATAACACAATCCCTTTGAATACAGTAATATTCAGTCACAGATGTCCACACATGTCCATGCTCACCCTCATCCTCCTGCAAACTCCATTGATTCATTTACTGGGAAATGTGGTGTTTTCCCCCAAAATGTCGTTTCCCTCTTAGAGAGTAATTTTGCTTCCCAGTTGTCAGGTAGCACCAAGAAAGGCAGCAGAGTTGGGCCTCTCTCAGGCTGTCCCTGCAGTGCTCCTGGGACCCTCAAGCCTCAGCCTTGGGTTCCTTCATTGATTTGACAAATTCCTTGACTTCTTCTTCCAAGGCCTTGTTCCTCCTCTCAACGTCCTCCCTGGAGCGCTCTACATTGCGGAGGCTGATCTCCAAGGCCGCAAACTTCTTCTTTTCCTTCTCCAGTTCTTCATTGAGCCTCACCACCTTAGCCCAGACATCATAATTTTCCTTCTCAAGGCTAGAGGAAGGAAAGAAAAGAGTGAAAGACAGGGCGTTAATTCTAGACACTTCCTTCAGCCTGGCTCACAACCTCCAGTCTAATATACGTATTTTCACCCCCACAGCACCTTGTATCAGTTCTGCTCGATGGACACTGTAGCAGCCCCACCCATATTCCAGACCCCTCATACCTCTGTGCACACGAGTGCCTTCTCATCCTGCTTTGGTGGAGAGCACAGGCCAGCACCCACTCTTAGGAAGGGCCTCCTGGGCATCGAGATTTAGAGAAGCAAAGGGAACTGCCCTTTGGGGAACAGTGGTCCTGGCAGTCCTACCCTCACTTCTGAATCCCACTCTAGGTGAAAGATCTGCAGGTCTGTGGGATTCCTGAATTCCCAGGCTTTTCATTGCTATTGGCCAAAATCCTAATGTAGTCCCAGGCGCCTCCCCGGCAGGCTGAGCAGAATTAACCCTTAGAAATGAGTGTACATATCATATGACACTTTTTAAGGCAAACGACGGAATTTTAGGCCTGTAGGGGAGATTGTGTCATTGGAAATTTGCTTCAAAATTTCATTCTGTGAGGTGCTGCCTCCCTTCTCCCCAGATGGCCTGCCCATTTCCATATGGAGACTTGTGCTCCCATTTGGGCCTATGCCTTGGGTTCCATCTTCAAGGCTTTGGCCCATTTTGCAGGTAGCGGCCCGTCTTCAGAGCCTTGCCTACCCCGCCTATCTCATCTTAAAGCTAAATTGGTCTCATTCCTTCTGACTCTCTCATTACAAATCTAGTTTTCTTCTCCAAGTTTTCCACACCCCTCTGGCTCTGGGGGAAATTCCAAGTGAGACACTGTGCTAGACCCTGACCACTGGTTCTAGTGGGGGGGGGTAGAATCTGTGGACTGCGAGCCAGCATGAGAGGCTTCCCTGACAAGTGGATTCTGGGCCATTCAGGAGGAACAGTCACCTCTGTGGTGGCCTGTCTTTTCCTGCTCTGTCAATAATACTTTGTTACAGTGCCACGTAGCCTTCTCTGGGACTGCTTGGGTCACTGCCAAGATGTCACAGAAGCCTTGTAATTCTACAAATGATTGATTTCAGGTTCTTAGACAAAGGAGCTACATCTTGCTTCTAGACAGCAGCCCTCTGTAGGGAACACTGGATTAAGGCTCACAGAAGTCTTTCTTTCAGGTACCTGAGTCTTAATGACCTAAGCCCTACCCATAAATAGGAAAGCCCCACAAATTCATGTTTTACTGCTTCATCACTAATGTTGATATGGGCATGGCTGGACTGAAGTTTTCCCTCATGAAAAAGAATTTGCTGCCCAATTACTAGTGTGAAAAAGTTTTCAAGAAAATACTTTACCTACCCAACAGAACAAATTGTATCCAAGTATCTAGGGAATTTGCATGTGATTGTGGCAATGGCTGCCCACTGGCCTCCCACCACTGTTTGCCTCCTGCAGCCAGTGGTCCCATGAAGCATAAGTCAGGTTGAAAGAGTCCAGAAGCTTCCATCTCACTCAGGCTTTCCGGTGGCTGACGAAACCCTACTGTACCCTGGCCTTCTGCATTTCTCTGCCCTCATCTCCTGCCAGTTACTCTCCCCTGCGCCAGCCACTTCCACGCTCCCTGTGCAGGACCCTGCTCGTCCTGCTCCCTATTCACGGCCTTGGCCTCGCAATTCTGCTCTACCCTGCCTGCCCTTCCCCCAGCCGTGCACCTGTTCCTGCATCTCCTTCAGGCCTTTCCTTACATGCTACTTTCTCAGGGGGGCCTTCCCTGGCCCCCCTATTTGACATTAGAATCCCCTCCTTGAACTTTCCAACCTCTTGACTCATATTTTTCTCTGTAGTATTCTCCACCAGCTGACACAACATATATTTTATTATATATATATTTTTTATTGTCTGTCCCCACTAGAATAAAAGCTCTGTACGTGCAGAGACTTTTTTCTCTTTTGTTCAGTGCTATTCCCTAAAACCTGGAAGGGTGCCTGGCTCAGAGCAGGGGCTCCAGAAATATTTTCAGAATCAATGAATGACATTTCTATGAAAAATTTTTAAAGTTCCTTTAAATGCATGAAAGCATATTCATCTTTAAAGAACCATGTTTTGGAAATTGTTGATTAAACTACTTAAGCTAGATATTTAAATCTTCATAAACATAATCAAATATAGAGCAGTCACTAATTTAGCCATCGCATCATTCCCTTTATCCATAGTAGGGCTGACTGCTATAGATTACCGTCTTCCCAAATTGAAGTTTTATAATGCGATTTCTTTGGCAGATGAAAACAATCCTTATTGTTTCTAAAGACGGAAGCCAAGTGCTGCCCAGTGCTCCTCTGTATGTGACTTACCTTTTAATCTGTTCCTCATACATTTGCTTCTGTGTTTCTATTTCCTTTCGGAGCTCCTGGACCATCCTCTGCAAAGAATCAAGTTCCTCTTCTCCAGAGTTCTGTTTTCCAGGCCCAGTTTCAGAGTTTGGGCTGGCAAGAGTCTCTCTCTTGGAGTCACACGCCTGGGAAGAAAGTGCACCTGCTTCGTTCCCAGGGGACCCTGGCGAGGCAGGGACATTATCATAGGTGGAAGTCCGCTGGGAGTCAGCAAAGTGGCGCAAATCTTGAGACATTGCTCTCCTGTGCCCTTCTCCTGCCTTAGATTCTGAAGAAGGCGACCAGAACTCATTTTTAAAGATCTCCACTTTGCTGCTGTTGGCACCTTGAAAAGCTGATGTCAAGAAGCATTTCCGGTTAGGGAGCGTTTGTGTCCTTTTTCGAGATTCCATCTTCCAATCTCCTGGCTTTTCCTTGGGGCCTTTGCTGCTGTCCTCCAGATGCCTGTCACTCGGCTGTTGTCCAGTGGGGCTGGTTGCGTCTGAGTCACTTGTCTAGGAAAAAAATGGCCATGGATGTTATAAGATATGGGCTTTCACTCCCCACCCTGTGTAAGACAGGAAATGTTTCCTGGTTGTACACCTATGAAACTCTTAATTAGAAGCTCACGTCTTAATTTATCACATTAATTGATGATCTGCATGTCATTTTTCTCAAACGGATATTGCACTTAAAGAAACTCACGCTCTAGAGATGAAGTGCTTACTAAAATCAATTGTTTGTTTGTGGTAAAGAGTCCTAAACTAGGATTATTATATAACCTTAGAAGAGGAGGCCTTTCTATGACTCAAAATCTGGAAGCCATCAAAGAAAAGTTTGGAAAAATTCAACCTACATGAGTTCCCGTGACTTCAAAAATTAAAAAGAACAAAAATAAAACAAAGAAACAAATCATCATATGCCAAATCAAAAAACAAATGACAAACTGGCAAAAATATTTGCATACGTATCACAGACAATAGGCTACTCTCCCTACTATTCAAAGATCATAAAAATTGAGAAGAACAAAACCAACAACCAGTATAATTATGGGCAAAGAACAAGATCAGACCGTTCACAGAGGAAAAAATGCAACTGGCCCTTGCACATAAGAAAAGATGTTCAGCCTCTCTCATAACATGAGAGACTCAAGTTAAAATTAAAATTACTGAAATGCCAGTTCTCACCTATCAGATGGGCAAACCCCCAGAATTTGACAACACTCTCTGTTGACGAAACCACAGGGAAACAAGTTCTTTCATGCATTGTTTTTGGAAGTATACAATGGCATAAATTCCAAGAACTTTTATCAAAATGACACATTCAAATATATTTACCCTCTGACCCAGAAATTCCTCTTCTGGAAACTTATCCCAGAAATACATCTGCCCGAGTACAAAAGGTCTGGTCAAGGTTATTCATTGCAGCCTTGTTTGTAATGTAAAGGACTGAAAACAACCTGCTCATCTATAGAGGTTGGTTGAGTAGGTTACGGTACAGCTGCAGAATGGAACACTATACATACACCTTCCAAAAACATTAGGTCATGGGAGGGAGTTGTCTGTGTATTGACATGAAAAAGTCTTCAGGGTATACCATTAAGTACAAAAATGTGATATATAGAGGTGTGTGTGTGTGTGTGTGTGTGTGTGTGTGTGTAGGGAGAAGAAGAGAGAGAGAGAAATTCTACTACATTTTGTGTAAACAGGGAGGTAAATAATTTACATTCATGTCTTCTTATATTTGCATAAAGAACACTGGAAAGACAAATAAGAAACTAATAAAGACAGGGAGGGCTGGGGTGGGTGAGAATGGGGAGGGAGCAGGACCCCCTCCATGTATACCTTTTTTATTTTCTTGAACCATGTGTATATATTATATATCTTAAAATTACATTATAAAGAAAAAGAAAAAATAAAGAAAGTGAGAGAGTGCAAGAGTGAGCGCTACACATAGCACCGGAAAATCAGGGCTCAAGCACTCCTTCCAGCCTTGTCTGGAGTCAGAAGCACCTGGGCCCGAAGTGAGAACCAGATCTGAATCCTACTCTATAACATGCTGCCACCTTCGGCCAGCTGGTCAACCTCTCTGAGCCTCACTCCTCAATCATAAAATGTGGATAAGAAATTCTGCCCAGCAATGTAATGGTGAGGACTCGAGGAGTGATCTAGTTAAACGCCCCCGTGCAGTACCTGCCCATAACAAAAAATAAACAGCAGAAACCTGTTTAAAGAGTGTAACGATGGCTAGTCTCAAGGTCTGCTGGGATAATCTAATTAAATGAAGTATGAGCATGTCAAAATTTTAATTTAGTTTTAGAGTGTTAGTAAGATGCATTGTGTCCAGACAGACCTTACCTAAGACAAAAGTAACAACCATTACCGCTACCTACCTTTTTTTTCTTTTTCATCTTTAACAATATTATAGGTAAATGATCTGGTCAACCAGAAATCTTAAACTCATTTCTTGGCCACATATAAAGGTCAAGCTGCTATGTAATGTTCACACGTTCTTTTTAAAAACATTTGTCGCTATAAATATATAAATATCTTTGACCTTTGTAAATTATTGCCCTTAAATAGTCTACGTTTTGGAAACAGCAGAGTTTTTGGACATTGGGAACGTGAGCTCCAACCCTTCAGTACAAACAAGGGGGCTGACATTGCTGAGACGGCTTATCAGGGAATGAGAAATATGACACAAACACATCACATACTCTGAGGAAGGAATCACGTTTCACGGGTTAGCAGGAAACCAGTTCTCTCTGGACTTTCACCAGGAATTTTTCAACAACTCTCACCAGAACATTTACAATGTGGTCTATACTTTTTCCATTGAACTTCCTCGGACTATATTTGAAAAGATTTCTCTTTCAGAGTGGGCTTCAGACGGGATCCTCATTGCTCAGTCATTGGGCGACTGGCACATATGTCGCTAACCCCCCTCCAGGCTGCTAATAGGGATAGATTTTGAAAGCGGCCAGGCTTTCAAGATGTGTTCAAATGCGCGTGTACCAGCTGTGCCCCTGCACCATCCAAAACTCCCCAAACTGCCACCCCAAAGCAGCTCTTACATGGAATGGCTCGGACTAAAGGAAGGCTCTCCACATCTTACCATGCTACTGAGGCTGTCTGTTCTAGAAATTGGGGGATCTTCAGTGGCATCCCAGCCTACAGAGCTTCGGGGCACTGGAGGTTTCTTGGGGTCGTTTTTCGGGGCAGGGGGTGACAAGGGTGCATCCTTGGACTTGGGGAAGAGGATTTCATGGTCTCTGATCATCATAGTCATCACTCTTTGGATCTGAGGAGTCCCTGAAAGAAAGAAGAAAGAAATTTGTAGTTCTGAACCCCGGGATGAGAGGCAGGTAGTCCTCAAGGGTCTCCACCCAGGAGATGTCTCCAAACTTGGCTCTAAAACCACACGACCCAAAGGGGGCCTCATTTTGCTCATCACAGGGCCCTTTTTAATTGCTTGGGGTAGGAGAGTATGAAGAAAGGGAAGGAATAGAAGAAAGATATGGGAGTGTGGTAAAAGAAGGAGCTGTTAAGGTTATTGTCAGCCTATAGTCCACTGGATTAGTTTTTGACCAGGAAAGTAGGCAATATAACAGGAGATAAAAATGAAGACATCTTTCTCTTCTGATGTGGTCCCCAATATGACATCTGCTTTCTTATCAGACACATAGCAAATACGTACCAGGCTTACTGCCCTCCCCATGGCAGACGTTAGTCTTCTATGCCAGGACTTTTGCCCATTGAGCCAAGACACAGCCTCAGAAGCCTGCTCAACACAGCTTTACAAAGCAGACTTTTTGTGAGCTTGCTTATAAAATGAAACCTGTTTGCTCTATCTGGCTAAGGGGTATTTAAAAGTGATAAAAGACTAAGGCTAACTGTTTCCGTGTTAGCCTACTGTACCTTGTGACCATTGGGCAAATCCTTGACCTCTTCCCTCTGTCGTGATCTGAAAATAGGATGTAATTCCTGCCCTGCCTACCTCACAGGGCTATTGTAGGATTCAGATGCGATAGTCACCAGAACATGGTTGGCAGACTGCAGAGCAGTGCACACACATCAGGGCTAGTGTTGTCATTGTTCCTTCCTCTGCACCTGCCTTCACCACAGGACCAGCCATACCTCTCATGATCACGGCAGGGTCTTCGACCTTCGACCTGATGAGATTCACACCAATCACAGTAGCCAGGTTGTCCACACTCATCTTGTTAACTGCACAGTTCAGCTGGATTTCATGCAGGAACCTGTAGGTAGCCAGGAAACCCATAGTAGAAAACAGGAAGTTGTCAGGAGGAAGCACTTCAAGGTACCAATGAGAACTCAGGGATGGATCTCAACTCCTGTCCTCCTGGTCTCAGGAATGGGGCCAGACTGCTCTGCCCACAAGAGTTTAGCTTTGTCCTGAAAGACCAAAGGCCAAGAAAGGATGAGAAACCAGGAGGGGCCTGCACAGCTGCTGGGGGCAAGGTGGGGACTCACACAAGCAGGAGGCAGGATCCAGTTCCGGGAGCCAAGAGGAGACTGGAAGGACCAAAGTGGATATTTGGCTCCCCGTTTGTCTTGCCTTTGTAGGTGTGTGTCCCAGCTCTCAGCGCCCACCCCGCCAAGTCTCCAGGGAGGAAAACTTTATTGGTAAGAAGGTCCCAGAGCTTGGACTTACGGGGGGGGGCAAGGGCAACATACGTAACCTAAACATCTGTACCCCCATAATATGCTGAAATAAAAAAAAAAAAGAAGGTCCCAGAGACAAGGAATCCATGGTGTCTCCTGGCTCTCACCCTCTGATTAGAGCACCAAGTATTGCTAAATCTCAGCAGGTGCTCAATAACTAACACTGAATTTTTACTACAGTTCTACCCATTTGAGGCAAGCCACTCTCAGATTCATTGAAAACAACAACAATAACAACAAAAAATTGGAATTTGTAGGGAATTTCTAAATACTCTCTCTAAAAACCATTTTTAAATGAATAGATTGAAGCAACATAAAATTCCAAATACTGGGAAATTATCAAATGGTGATGTGTCCAAATGATGAAACATTATGAAATATTATGGAGCCATTTATAATCCTATTTTATAACACAGGGAAATGCTCACAATATAACATCAAACCAAAACAGGCAGGATACGACCCTTTATATACAGTATAATTTCATTTTGGTATTAAAAAAAATTGTTCTCTTATATTTATGCTGATGAATGAAAAGCTCTATCACAGAGAGAAAACATCCAGAAGGGAAATGCCTGAGTGTTGATAGCGATTATTGCTGGATGAGGGAATTGTAGGGGTTGTAGGTAATTTTTATTTTTTATTTACAGTTTGCTGTATCTTTCTGGTTTCCAAATCAAGTATCACCTTTATAATCTGGAAACTAGGACAAATTATTTTTTAAAAATAAAAGACAAAATTCAGGTTTGTCTGGAATGAAGATCCGGATTCCCTGCCCAGCCAGACTGGGGTCCACCCACATCCAGATGTTGCCATGGGGAAGGTCAGAGCAGGGCCTCGGAAAGGGCTGAAGGAAGATGAACAGGGTGGCCCAGAAGGAATATCTCCCAGGCACTAAATTGCGGTCTAGAGTCAGGAAGATGGGCGATGAGTCTAGAAACATTATGAGGATTCTAGGTTCTCCTGCACGTCCCAGGCCTCTGGGCGTCGCGGGGGCAGGGCTGAAGGGGGAGCATGTTCGTTCTGTGTGCAAACCAGGTTTTCAGGGATCCTTGAAATGCTCTTGTGGAAACAGGCAACTACCTCAGTGCTACGTGAATAGAGTTGATCTTCCAAAGTGCTGGACCAGAATCTCTGAGTTCACAGAGATGGTCCCTCCTCTTCTAACCAGGGGCTTTTTCTGAGGCAGCTGAAAGCTGTAGCATTGATGCCAGGGGACTCACCTGCAGATGTAGCTCAGAAGACTATAGTTGTCACGAGGAAGGATGGAGAGCTGCTTCATCAACTCCTGCTGAGCCTGGGAAGAGATTTTTAACGCCAGTGAATGAGCCTGCCCACTTGCCAGCTATGAGACCCTGCAACAGAATTGGTGTATCTGTGCAGCAGTCACTCCTGACCCTGTAGTTTTGTGGGTTTAAAAACAAAATTTATCTGGAAATAACTATAAATTCTCAGAAAGTTGTAAAAAATAGCACAGAGAGGGTTATAGTTTTTGGTAAAGTATTTTTTATTTGTCTTTAATTATGCCACCCCACCCCACTTCTGACCCCACGCTACTCCAAGGCAAGGACTATTTGACAACTCATACACTAATTGTTTGCTTAATGAATGCTTGAGATGTAGCAGTCCAATAAAGAATTGGACCATAATCAAATATCTCAGAATCACTTTAATACTAGCAATGAAAGGAGGATACTTGTTTATTTATTTATTTATTTATTTTTTGAGACAGGGCCTTGCTCTGTTGCATGGGCTAGAATGCAGTGATGTCATCATAGCTTACAGCAACCACAAACTCCTGGGCTCAAGTGATCCTCCTGTCTCAGCCTCCTGGGTAGCTGGGATTACTGGTGCGCACCATCACGCCTGGCTAATTTTTCTATTTTTAGTAGAGATAGGGTCTCGCTCTTGCTGGTTTCAAACTTCTGGCCTCAAGCAATCCTTCCGCCTAGGCCTCCCAACTGCTAAGATTACAAGCATGAGCCCCAGGGGGTCTGGCCCAAAGAAGTGGGGAAGTTCAGAGGCGGAGTCTTACGGTCAGAACAGCATCTAGGTTCCACTACCTCCTTTACTTTCCCTAGAGCTGAGGGGTGACCTGCTATAATATCTGAAACATTCGTCTTTTTAGCTGATTTTAAAAATTTCTTCCATAAATTTTTATTACGTTCACAAAAGTGAGCTGATATACTTTGTGTAAATTGACTTTTTATATCCCCTTCTCCCTTCCCAACAAATTAATAAATCATGTACAAAATAGCCTACATCAGATCATGCAATTGAATTTTTGTTTGGAAAACAGCTACAATAGCTGTAGCATAGCTGCATTGTCATTGTTCTCTTTCTTTCTTACTTTTGGACAAAATTTCTTCATTCATTTTTAAAATGAATATTCTGGGGAGCAGAACATAAAAAAATTCTGAAGTATAGAAGAGAATAAACTTCCCCTTATACCAACATTTTTAAAAAGTCACTCACCTGTGTCATACTCCTTGGTCTTCAAAACAATCCTGGGCATAGCTGATATTATTAAGAAAATTGTCTAAGTTTGTGCTGTCCAATACAGCAGCTACTTGCCCCATATGGTTATTTAAATTTAAATAAATTTAAATAAAATTAAGAATTCAGCTCCTCAGGTGCACTAGCTACATTTCCAGTGCCAAATAGCCATCTGTGGCTGGTGGTTACCACATTGGACAGTGCAGATATATGTAAGTTCCATGACTATAGAAAGTTCTATTGGTCTAAGTAAATAAATGGAATTTCGTAGAAGATGAATACTTTGCCTAATGGCAAAATCCAAGTTAAATCTAGGTCTTCTTTATAGGTTTTTTCTTTGTACCACTTTGCCAGAAAGAGCTTTTAATATAGTTGTGATAAAAACCAACCTATTTAAAGGGGTTAGACTCCCCATCTTAGCAGTGTAACACAAATGTATTTGTGGGTAATTTAATTTTGAAAATCTTAGTTAAAGACTACGAAGGTTTTATTGTTGTTAGTTGGTTTTTATCAATTTCTTTTTTTGCTAGTTGGTTTATTATCATGACTCGAGTGTGGTGATTGTTGACCATAAGGCTCTCTAGAAACAATTTATACATGATCAAAAACCCTGCTGGTGAACTTGTTTACTCTCATAAGCATGACATTGCGGAGGGTGATACAGACACCACAGACTGAAAAGAACAAAGAAAATCTCCCCGTCCTTCCTTTTCCCAGCACATGCATTCCTTGAACCATGCCTGACACTCATGCCCACTGCAGAGCTTGAACAATTTGCCCTTGCACCTGCCCTCCAGTTTGGTCAGCCTGTCTTTGCATCCTGGTAGGTCAAGCAAGGCCATAGTGCTTGAAACCCTTCTCAGAAATATCCTTATTTTCTTACTATGTTTAATGTGACTCAGGGGTATTTGATTATGGTCCAGATTTTTACTGGATTATTAAATTCTATGAAGGCTATGGTTTGCCAGTCACCACGACTGGCTTTATTTGCCTTGTATTGCTGAGGAAGGAAGTCTCAGTTTGACAAAGTATCTCACCAAAAGGTATGGGGCACCTTGACCTCCTGTTGCCTACCAGGATAGTGTTCAGAAAACCAATCACTTTCTGCTGCGGCAGGACAACTAACGCTGGTGAGATACCTACCTTTGCCTCGTCTGCATTCGTGAGCTGCCCGCAGAGCAGGAACCCTTCATACTGGCTCCAGGGAACCACTGGCTCCGGGAGGTCTCGGAGGTAGAGCTTCAACAGGGAGGCCACGGTGTGCACATCTGTGTCTCTGGAAGAAAATAAGCCACGCTCTTTGAAAGGGAGACTCTGAAACTTTCCTCACTTCCACTCGAGTGATGCACTGAGCAGAACCATAAGTTACACTGGGGAGTTTTACAGAGGAGTTGAGTCCGTAAAGAAGAATCAGATCAAAACATTCTTGTTAATTCCCACTTCTGGAATAACAACCCTGAACGCTTTTTCCTCTATCTCTTGCACCCAGCTACCTCAAAGGTAAGTTCAAGGTCCACTGTTTAATTAAATCTTCTTTAATTCTTTTAGTCTTTATTGCTTTCTTCTTTCTTCAGCTCACTTAGTGTCTCACAATTAGCACTGCCTAATTAGTCCCTGATTTTGCATGTGTTAACTCCTTTATGTTCTTGGTCCATTGATCTCTTTAGTCTCCCAGTGTTTAAAATAGATCTGGGATTCTTTCATATATTTGCTCAGTAATTCATTCAGTTAGTAACCATTGAGAGAGCCTACTAGGTGCAAGATACTCTGCCAAGCACTGGGACTTCAGTAGCCAACCCGAGGGACACACAGGACTCCTGGCCTCACTGAGCCACAAAGCTGTGAGGATTCAAGTGCTACCAGGTCTAGACAATCTGGGAATCTGGGTTTTAGCAAGGAAGAACGCAGAGTCGGCTGGGCAAATATGCCTCCTGGGAGGGAAGGGAGGGGTGGATTTGAACTGGAGGAGAAGAGAGGCTCTTAAGGCAATGGAAACAAGAGCACCAGGCCTGGATTGAAAGCTCTGCCTTAGCACTTTGTGTACATTTTTGTTTTGTTTGCGCTTTTGACAGCCAGCTGTTGGAGATGTCATCTGAAAAGTCTCCCCCTCTGCAGCCCGGGAACTCTCTACCTCAAAAAGAGAAACGTCTGGCACAGAGCCCTGTCTGTGCTCCACGGCTGCCCTCAGGAAATCTAGGGTGGGGGCCATTCACAACGTGGGGATTCTAGAAAATCCTTCCCTGCTGAGTCACTATCTAAAAATACCCCCGGGGCAAAGCCAGGCTGGGAAAAGTACTCGTGTCAAAATACAATGAGAAGTTCCCAAGGAAGTGGCAGAAAAACAATCAGCTTGACAGTTTGCAGGAGGGGCGTTTTCCTGAAGTCCCCGCGTCGCAGTCCATCCGGTTGTCTCTATCAGAATCCTGGGGCTCCTGTTTGATCAGGGCCTCTCCTCCACCCTGCACCCAATTCCAAATTCCCTCAATTCTATCATCTCAAAGTCGGGCGGAGCCTTTAAGCCTCTCCCTCCTGTCACTGCCCTATCTCAGGAGGTCATTGTCCTCGGCCAGGACTCCGCCCAGCCTGCACCGCCGCCTGTCCAGTCTATTCACCAATGCACTGCCCAGGGCAGGCCCCTGCACTCAGAACACACCCAGAGAAGGAATCCAGAAAATGAATTTGAAATGAGAAAAACAGAATAAATGGTAAGTCAAGAAACGGAATCTTTTAAAGAGAAACAGCAACAATATAAAAAGACAACTAGACTGTGTAATCAGGATAAATTAAAAGAGCAAAAATGTCTAACATTAGAAAGAGGCAGGATTACAATCACAGATATAGTATGGATACTTCAAAGCCATAAGCAAAGAACACAATTAGCTCTATAAATCATCTTAGAACGCTGAAACCTACAGAAAGCTTCCCGATTCATTTTACCAAAGATAATACTGATCAACTGTGTCCATGAGGCCTGGCTAACTCCTCATTCTTGTTTATTGGGTCTCTGCTGAAATGTCATTTTCTTGGGGACATCTCTAAATTCACCAGACCATGTCAAAAGCCCCCTGTTCTAAGTTGTCATAGTGCTATATTTCATTTTTAGCACTTAAAAAAATGGAACTTATACAATTATTTCTGTAAAGTTTTGTTTTAATGTTGGTGCCTCTGTATTAGAGCTGACTCAGATGCCAATTTTATGGTCTAAGTTTCCAGCATTTTTATTTCTGAGTTTGCTGTTCCTCCAACCCAATGGAACATCCTTAAATGATTTTTTTTTTTTTTTAATCAAGGGCTAAGAGCAAGTCATGGGCCAGGTGGCTTCTGAGCTTCACAGCTGATGCACCAGAGATTACCCAGAGCCCCTCAGATGGCTCTGCCAGCCCTTCCCTGGGGCACTGATGCTTGCAATGTAGCACATCTGTGAGTCCATTTCTCACAGAAATATAGGTATGGGAAGTATGTCGGCTTTGTGGCCAGGCAGTATCCATCCTAGTAGAAACTTGACAGGAGATTTTAAAATTCATATTTATATATTTAATATGATATTTATATTTATGTAATTTAATGTAAATTATATTTACATAATTTAACACAATTTTATATTTAATGATACCAGATACACCTGCACTAAAATCTCATCAAACAAGAGCTCCTTTGTTTTCCTTCATTCTACGAAGGCAATGAGGGGATCTTGGGGTGGAACCGTGCAGGTGACCAGCATAGAAGGTCGAGGGAAGTGCCCACAGGTGTGATGTCAGGGCACCAGGAAGGGGCTCCTTGTTTTCCCAAACCCCCCTTCTTCCACTCACTGACTCCTAGAATTTCTTTTACAGGGGGCAAAAAATCTGCAATCACAGTAAAGATTTATGAAGCCAAAACCCAAGTGAGGTCAACATAACTGGCAAATTAACTCTGAAGTGAAAGCGACCAGTGTTAGATGATTTCCTGAGAGTGAGTCTAGCTTTGGGGTGGGAGGGGAAGAGATCTGCCTTGAGACTGCATCACCCGAACTGTGTGTGGGGAGGTGAGAGGTGGGGGAGAGTAGAAGGGGGAGGGCAAGGGCAGAAGAAGGGGAAGGGGAGGGTTTTTGGAGTCGTCAGTGGCCCAGGGTGAGAAGACAACTGGCCTACTGTTCAGGGCCCGGGAACAGGCTGCCTGACCCTAGGTGAGTTGCTTAATCTTTCCAGGCCTGCTTTGTCACCTGTAGAATGGCAATAACCCTGTTCTCCAGGTTTGTCTTGAGGGTCAAATCAGAAATGTGTATGAAAGTCATTTCAAAATTCTGTAGTTCAATGCGATATTAGGCATTCATATCCCAGCACAGAAGACAAAGAAATGGAAAGTTGGGCATTGGGACAGGCTCTGCTGACTCTACTGCTACGCCCGGGAAAAGGCCCGTGGGATGCTTTGTCCTGATAATCTACAGGTGGAAAAGAAGTTCCTCTTAAATCTGAGACATGCTCTTAGAGGAGGCCTTGGCTCCTAAATATGTTCAAATGCAACTAAATAATGAGAATCAGATAAGAACCAGTCACACCTCCCAAGTCACACTTGTTCTCTCAAGAGTCATGTGAACCCGAGAGTCAGCCCTGGGAGGACCCTGAAGAGCCCCAGGTGACCCTTCCTCTTTCTGTGTAAACTCTACCCCTCAGTTCCAGGGGTGAAGATGTCATGACAAGGTGTGGTAACTCTCCTCTTTCCAGCCCCCAATTCATAGGAATCAAAGACTCCCACCACCACCCCTGCTGACTTTACAGGTGTGGAAGCGAAGGCCTAAGGCACTTGTTTGGAAAATCCCAGCAATCACCACTGCTCCTTTTGGCACACTGTTTGCATTGCTTTGGCAACAACCCATCTGTATCTTTTGATCAAGTCGAAGCTAATTAAAAATGTAAGAAGAAAACTGAATATAAAGGTGGTGAGTGTAATGGAACAGGTGTCTGATAATAAAATGCAATTTATGGTGCTGCTGAAAAGTCCCTAAATTTGTTGCCCATAATCTGGTATAGTTCCCATAACAACTCCATACCCCTTGCTTTCCTAGGAGACCCTAGGATGCTAAAACATATCACCCTTGGTAAATTAACTCACTACATGACAAGGGCAGGAAAAACACACATGTGGTGGCCAGCACTAAGACTGGCTGTGAGCACGGAGAGAAACAGATGGATCTCAGAGGCGCTTCAGGGGAAGAATGGGCAGCGTTGGTGACTACAGCGGGGGGTGAGGGAGAGACCACACAAGCATGATGCTTAGGTCTTCACGATTTTCCCAGAATCAGCCCCCTTTGGCCCAGCTAAGCTCTGGAGAATTTCATCTTTTGGAAACTGGACAGAGTTCAGGCCCAGCTTACTAAATCTGGGTAATTTGGAAAGAACGGTCTGTCTTACGCCAGCAGGACAAGCACACACAGGCAACCTGGGTGAATATTGCACAACAGGCAGGGGGTGCACATTGGGGATGGTACCAGCAGAGCACGGCAGGGAAGGCAGCCTCAGCTGAGTGGCTGGAGGAGGTCTGGGGGAAGGGATGGTGGGAAGAAATGTCACTACACCTCATATGCCCCAGATAGGGCTGGGCAACCTTCACAGAGGAGACTTGGGGACACTAGGCTGCCAAGATATCAGTATGTGCGCCCTCCAAAAGGGCTCAGAACTGAGTCAGAATCACACAGTACTGTGGTCTCGGAGACTAAATGAGAAGTTCTGGTTCTGGCCATTTCTGGAACCCCAAGGAAGAACACTGGTGCCCCTGGATTAGATCTGGTGCATTCTCCACCACACCGAGTGTTCGTACAGCCAGCTCGGCACTTCCATGTTCCTCATCTGCCCTGAAGGGTGGGCCTTAGGCTGGGCCCCATCTTCTGTACATCCCCTTCCCCAGTATCCTAAACCTCACCCGAATCTCCCCAGCAAGGCTCTAGTTCTGGTTCACACCATCTCTCTCCTAACTGTGCTCCGGGCTCCCAGATTCGGAAGTATGAGCAAAACAAAAGCTCTTTCTGTTGCAAGTCAGGGCTCTCCGAAGTGTCTGTGTGAGTCCCGTAGCTCAACTGCAATGGAGAGGTCCTGTCACCCAAGCCAGGCAGAGGGGAAGGCACAGGCAGGACCCTGCGGGCGAGGACAGCATACCTGTCGAAGGAGGGCCGCTCCCCGGCATCAAAAGCATCTCTCAGCTGCTTCACCAGGTTGTCCTGCCCAGGCAGTCGGAATATGCCCTCTTCATTCAGGCCGTGCTCAAGGATGAACTCTGCACACTTCTCCACCAGGATGGGCACCAGATGAGGGCCAAATTTCTGCTCATAGGCCACAGTCTCATCCAAGCGCTGGCCAAACACCGCTGGGAAGAGGAGACACAGGACCCACCCATCATTCTCACCTTCCTTGGATGAACTGATGGGTCAAAGGGTTTGCCTATTTCTGGGTTTTCTGTGTCACCTGTAACTTCAAAGGTTTTAGTGCAATGCTATGAAACAAAACATGGGAGACAAGTGACTCATAATATTTCCTGGGGCTATAAATTTGGGGCAGTCTCTGTCAGTTTTTTTCTATTGACCCACTGTTTTTACATATTTAAAATAACGGTTGGCTTTTACTGAGTACTTTTGTGCTAGGAATTGTGCCAAGAACTTTGCACACTTTTTCTCATTTAATCTTGACGGTAACCCCACGAGGCCGCAGTAACGTTATACCCACCTTACTGTTAAAGACACTGAGCCTCAGAAACGCTGGGGAACTTGCCAAGGTCAGGCAGCTTAGGGCCTGGCATAGTCGGAATCCAAGCCCAGCACTAAGCAAACTCCTGAGAATGTGCATTTAACCACAGCAGCAAGCAGGCTGCTTTGAATTCTGCTTGTGCTCAGGAGCATTAAGGCATAATACAGTACACAGTTCCCCCTTATCCGAGGGTTTGTTATACATGGTTTCAGTTACCCACGGTCAACCATGGTGTGAAAACATTAAATGGAAAATTCCAGAGATAAACAATTAATAAGTTTTAAATTACAAGCCATTCTGAATAGCATGATGAAATCTCGCACCGTCCCACTCTGGCCTACCTGGGACGTGAATCATCCCTTTGTCTAGTGTATCCATGCTGTATACACTGCCTGCCTGGTAGTCACTTAGTAGCAGTCTTAGTTACAAGAGCGAACAAACAGTATACACAGGGTTCAATACTACATACAATTTCAGGCATCCACTGGGGTCTTGGAACATAACTGCACCCCCATAAGGGGAACTGCTGTAGTCTATCCCATGGATGTCTCATACTGTATTGAACCATTGTGGCATTTTAAATAATTTAGGTTGCTTACTGTGTTCTAATTATAAACATTACCACAGCAAACATGCCCATTAGTCTAGCAGGGTTCCTGGAATGTATATAGTACAATACATAATTTCTAATTAATTGCTTAATTAATTAATGAACATTTGGATGGATGAACATAGACATTTCATTCTTTTGCACTATTTCCTTAGGACAAAATTCCACATGTAGGATTGCTGGGTCAAGTCGTTTGAACAATTTTGTTACTCAATGGTATGCAAACTGCTTTCCAAAAATATTTTCCCAAATTACGCCGCCTCCAGCAAAGCAAGTGTGGACCAGCTCCACCCCAGCCCCGTCAGCATTGGCTCTATAGTTCCCCACCCCGGCAGAGTAACAGGACTAATTTATAGATCAGGACAATCATTGCCTATCCATTCTCCCACCCAGCCCTTGGTGTCCTGGAGGTTCGAAGACAGGCCGTGGCTTCAGTCCTGTCCTGCCTGACTTTCCCCTGTCACAATCAGGGCCCTGTTGCATCCTGCACTTCAATTCCAAGGACACCAGTCTGCAAAATCCCTTTCTCCCCATCATTCCCTCTGTCTCTTAACTGGATTACTTCCAGTCTCTTGACTTGGATTCCTTCTGTAAAGAGCCATGACAGGCTCTAGAATCCTCTGCATCTTCTCTGCTTCCACTCACTGCCCAGGCCCAGGGTGGCCTCCTCTCTTACCTGTAACTGCTGAAGTCTCTTCTCTCAACCTGTTCAAACCCTCTCTGTGACTCACCTTTCTAAACCACTGCTCTCCCTGAGCACCTTTTCCCTGGTTTTCAATAGTCATCCACTTCTTCCCCAATTGCCACTGTGATGTTTTTCAAATTGCCCCTCAAAGCCCTGGGAGTTCCTCAGAGCCCCCTCCCACATCACATCTGGTGCTAGGAGGTGACAGTATCGGATCTAGCAGGAGCTGGGTAGGTGGGCCTCCATACTCCCTAACCAGACTTGCTGGGCTCTTGTCTGTTTCACTTGTTGCATTGCAATGAGACTGTTGTATTAAATATTTCTGTGGCTAAAGTTTGAGAACCAGGGCTGGCATTCCCCAGGTTGGCAGTGGGCCCGGCACTCACCTGCCTTTCTGGCCTGACATCCTGCCATGGCCCCAAAGGCACCTCACCCTCATGTTTCTAAAACACAGTGCTCTGTGCCCTCCGACAGTCTGTCCAGTCTGTTCTCTCCCTCCCCATTGGCTGGAATTCTCTGTGTCCTCCTTGGCCCTCTCAAATATCATCACCTTGACATACCTCCCCTGACCCCCAGATGGACAGACTACATGTCTGTGCACTCACATTCCTTCCTGAATATTCCAATCCCTTGCCACACCGTGCCGTAACGATTTGTATCCACCTGTGTCCCTGCATGATACTGGGAACAGGAGGAGAAGCTCTTTTCATCCCTGTTGTTTAGCATAATACCTGGCACATGGTAGTCAATTAATGAATTTGTCTTTAAGCAAGTATTTTCCATGACTGCTGGTTATTTTGGCATTTCTTTAGTTTAAACGCTAATAGGGGTCTCCTTAGTAAATGAATTCAGCTTCACGATAACATTTACCCAGTGCCCTGCCATGTGCCAGCGGCAGGCCTGTGGAACGGGCTAGAGAGACAAGGGACATGGAAGACACGGTCCTTGCTCTCAATGAGCTCGCCATCAAGTTAGGAATATAAAAGGACCACACACAAAAAATGGCAAGAAGCAACTAAAAAATGTCAATAACCATATAGAACCAGGTTTCTATTTGTCTGTAAAAGGAGCTGGATAGATATTTTCACCAAACTGGTACGACACGATTGAAGTGAACTGACTTAAAACTTAGACAACATGGCACTTGGAAAACCCCCTTTGCAGGTCCAGGGAGAGGCCCCTCAAACAGAAAGGCAGACGAAACTTGGGCTCCAGGGGCCTGCTTGATCCCGATGGGGAAAGGTAGCCCAGACACATTGTGAGGATGTGCACAGAGAAGTCGGAGCTTTCAAATGTGAGCTCCATGTCTGAAGGTCTGAGGCTGATGTTCCACCTTGCAGGTGACTTGGAACCAAGTTCCTTCTTACACCGCTCTGTGTGGCTAGTCTTCTTCTCATCAAGGTTATCGACCTTGTCCCGCGTTCATCCTTTTCCTCCCATGTGCCACACGCCGCCCTTTCCATGTCAATCTCACCAGGGCACTCATTTCCCTGCACTCTTTCCCTCCACATTCCCCACCCTGCCAGTTCCCACGACCCTCTCCATGCCTTCATCACGCCTCCGAGAGCTGTGAGGGAACATGCACAACCACATTGTGGAAATGCATCATTCCAGTCTTCGCAAGAGCTTGGCTCCAAATCTTCACCACCCCCCTGAACCCCACCATGCCCTCTCTTCCTGTCTCAGTGAGTGACCTGGGCTCCTCTTTCTCCTATGGCCCCAAATGGAGGGAGATGCATAACCCCCCCACTGCCAGCCCTGCCCATCCCATCCCTCCTCCTCTGCCTGTTGCCTGTCCTATCTCAGAGGAAGAAGGGGGCCCTGGCTTTCCTCTAGGATGATGTCTTCCTGAGCTGGGGGTTCCATCCCTGCCACCTCTCCCAGGATTTACTCTTTCTCTTTGTTTCTTAAATTTTTCTCTTTCAACTGAAAGATCCCATGTAAATCTACGTCTTTGCCAATTTACGGAAGAATAATCTCCCACCTCAGCTCTCATTCAAACGACCAATAATTTGACTTTTTTCTCTTCACCGGTGTACTCTAGAAAAATGTGCCTACTCTGAGAGAGTCGTCCGCCCTCAGAGCCCCCACTTGCTCATTTTTCACTCGCTTTCCAGCCTCTCAACCCCCGTGATCTGGTTTCATTAGCCTGCACCTCTCCGCTGAATCTGCCCACGAAGGTTTCTGGTGCTCTCCTAATGCTCATTCCACACCCTGCTTACTGGTCTTTTCTGAAGGCTCTGATGGTGCTGCTTCTCCTTCCTCCTCAAGACTTTCTCCCTGCGTGGATACAAACCCATCTATTCTCATTCTATCCCATCTCCCTGACGATACCTTTCAGTCTCCTTCACTGTACTCCGTCCCCCACCTGCTCATTGCCTGGGACTCCAACCCAGACTTCTTTTCTTCTACCCTAGCCATTCTCCTTGGGAATGTTCATATGATTTCACACATTTGGATATCACCTGAAACTGATAACTCATTAATCTGCATATAAGGTCAAGATCTCTCTCCCCTCTCCTCCATTCTAGTCCTATAAATTCAACATCTAATGGCAATTCTCCCAGTATCTTCTCTAATTTCACTCTAACCCCACCCCTAAATCAGTGCTCCTTCCTCACAAGCGATAGCATTCGTCAATCAGTCAAGCACCAGTTGCTCTCCTAGGCACTGAGAATACAAAGCCATTAACACAAGGTACCTGCACACAACCAAGCCAATTAGCAAAATTGTGAACATGAGAATTATCTGCAACACCTTCTCTCCCTCCGAATGGATTGGGACATTCTAAACATGCTTTACACCAGCTCTCAATCCTCACCTCTGCTGCCTATGCTACTGTCATGGCTTCTTTTGCAACTCTGTTTCTTGCAAATTCCTTTCACCAGAATTCACAAAATCATTCAGAAAATGTAGACTGAGCATCTGCTGTGGGCCAGGCTCTTTGGTAGCTGGAGAGTATGATGGAAAGAATGAAAAATGGTCTTCCCTCTTAAAAACTCTCAAGCTAATGCCCTTCCTCTTACTTCCCACCTGGAAACCCAGTCTTTCTGAGTTCAGATGTCTTCTCAGAGGGAATTGGTCACTGTCGTCTCTGTGCCCATAGAGGTCCCTGCGCACACCTCTATTTTACCACTTTTCATGTAACTTTATGATGATTTATTGAAACATCCCTCTTTTCCACTGGCCTGTGGACTCCTCAAAGGCAGACAGCCTGTCTGGCTCACCATCTATTTTCATCTCCTGGCACAGAGCCTGCCACATGATGGACCGGCCGTCACAGAGCTGCCACTACCTGCTGTCTTCCAGTCCTCCCCTCCTCTGCCCC